GCGAGAGACGAGAGGCGAGAATCGGAGAATCGGAGAGTCGGAAAGCAAAAAAAAAGGGGACAAAATCGGTGTACTATTTGCCAAGAAAAGCGTTAATAGATCAAGGCGGAAAAACTGATGGGAACAGGCACTGTGGAAAGTCATTCAAGAATTTTCCCGCTGACAATCTTGAAAAGAAATCAAGCCAAGGAAAAAAAAACGGCAAAAACCCAAGGCGACAACTCAATCGAGGCGTTACACTCGAAGAAAAAATTTCAACTAACAAAAGGGAAGTGAGAATGGTTATTGTAAAAAATTAATATTATTTCTTAAGCTAAAAAATTTTAAATTTCAAATTTTTAAATAATAAAATAATAATTCATGAAATCGAATTAAATTATTTAAAATTTATTATATATTATTTTTAAGTTCTATAGATATTTTTTTTCTGAGTATAAATAGTCTCAGGATCCAGATATTTCATTAGGCATCATTAAATAATAATTAATAAAATCAAATTCTAATATTTAAAATTAATTAAGAGCAGAAACCAAGCTACTAATGATATATTATTTTTCCAAGTGGCATCATAAAATTATAATTAATTAAAAAACCGAATTATAAATTATAAATGTTAAAATAAATATGAAATAAAAATAAACCAAGGTACCAGAGTTAGTTTTTTCTTTTTTTTTCCGAGTGTAAATAGTGTTAGGATCAAGATTCAAGCTGGAAATTGAATGCACGCTTTGTTCCCCCCTCCTACTCCTTCTTTATTGCATCCTCTTTCTCCCCTTCTTGATGGTCGCCGCTCCTTGCTTTTTCTTGATTTCTTTAGAGTTGTTTTTTTGTTTTTTTTTCTGTATTTTTTATGAAATATTGCCCAAGGGGCGGTTCAATTTTGATGCATTTACAAGGTTCGGGGTGTTGGTAATTATAGGGACTTTATGTCTGGAAGTTTCCTTTATGATAGGGTTTTTACTTTCAAGTTCCTTTCATATACCGTTCGCGCTGTTGTTGCACTCGCCTTTGATTGCTGAATTAAGTCGGTCGAGTGGATCTTCTTATTTTTATTTACTCTTTTTTTCTTTCGAATTTTTGCCCCGGGAAACGCCCCCATTTGGGGGGAAATAGGAAAGGTGCGGCCAAGGTTGGACTGAGACTCGGATTGGTTTTGTTTCAGTGTAGAAATATAAAACGGAAAATAATGGAATATTTTTTGTTGAAATTCAATGAAAAGCTTTTGTTAATCTAAACCGATTTTATCGAAATATTCAATATTAAATATAGTATTTACTTTTAAACAAAAGTATTTGGAAAATTGATTCAATTGACTTTTCTCAATTAGAATACCAATTTATTAAATGAAATAAAGATTTTAGTTAGTAACAATATTTTAATGTTTATTAATCGAATTATCGATATTATTTTAAGGAAAGTTAACATGTTTGAATAGAAATTTATACAAGTTTGTCAAGAAAAGAAATTGCCTGGTTGGGTCTTCCACTTAAAAGAAATGAACGAAAAAGTACATATTTGCTCTTGAGAAATACTTGCTCAACACGTCAAGTTTTTTAAGAGATGTACATAAATAGAACTTAAAAAAAGGTTTCAAAACCCACTGAACTTAAATGAGATTACCATAAGGTAATCTATAGTTACTTCTTACTAGTTATTAAGTGAAATAAATGGAAAGTTCATACATAGTAGTAGTTAATATACTCCAACGAGTTTTCTAAATTGTGCCCTTCTTTAAAGCGTCGAACACATCGTTTTGAGGCTTCACCACAGCCAAATTTTCACGTTTGGCAAATAACGTTTTGAGCGGTACATCATCCTCGCTTTCGGTTTCCGACGAATATATAGATATTTTGGCATTTCGCTCTTTGGCGGAGCTCGAAGGCTTATTGACAGCGGGCTTTGCTTCTGGCTGCGTCTTTCTATGCAGCCTCTTTGAGTACTTCGTTGGCTGCGGCGACTTGGCTTCAGTTGAGCCAACTATTGGCTGCGTGATGGTACTGCAAATTGTGTTCATTTTGGTCTTCAGCTGCTTTATGATGCCCTGTCACAGATATTGTTATTATTTTTTAGCTAAAAAGGTTAATCTAATTCCAACTTACATCCTTCTCGTGCTCGAGTGCAATTAGCTTGGTTTTCTTGTTCTCGAGGTCCTCCTGCAGGGCGATCATCTCATTCTGCAAATATAAATATATGTAGAATTATATAATATAATGTAAAAAAAAGGTGGTATTACCATTTGCTCCTTTAGTTGATCCTCGTACTTTTCCTTAGTAGCTGCCAACTGATTGCCCATCTGCTTCTTCTCATCCTTGAGGTTGGTATTCACCTTCTTAAGCTCATCAAGTTCAGCCACAAGACTTTGCATCTTCGCTTGCTCAGCACTCGATGCTCTGTCCCTATGCTCAAGTGCAGTTTTGAGGGCAGTTATATCGGCCTGATGGCGCTCTTTTTCGCCATCCAATTCGGTTTTTAGCCCCAGACTTTGATGGTTGGCCTTAGCTAGCTTTTCCTGCTCAGCCTGCAAGACTTGACCTTGATCCTTCAGCATGTTCTGCAAGCTTTTGATTGTTTCCTGCAACTCCAATTTTTGAGCCTCGCACTCTTGGCGCTCTGCGCTGTGGAGGGAGGCCTGCTGGAAGTTTGCAATTTCGAGCTTCTCCTGGCTCTCTATTAATTTCGTGAGATCCTGTGACTGCTTGTCCAAGATCGACATTAGGCTGGAAATGGTTTCCTGAAAAATAAATACAACATTTATTGCATTACTCCTTTTTTTTGGGATAAAACTTGCTTTGTGGGCGTTGTTTTGGGCATTCAGTTTCACTGATTCCCTGGCGAACTCATCGTTAACCTCAACCAGCGAGGTTTGAGTGGCCTCCAGCTCTTCAAGGCGAGCTGCCATTTCGTTGTTGAATAACATTAGCTCTTCGAAGTCCAACGCCTGCTGGTTGAGCCCATCGCACTCCAGTGTCTTGTCCCTCAATTCGGCATCGAGCTGATAACATTTATTCTGTTGACGAATAGAAATACGAGTTGAGAGTATAAATAGAGCAAGTAAAACGTATAACGAGTACAACAAAGAGGATACAGAGTTATCTGGTTTAAATACAACAAATACAGTGGATTTCAGTTATGGGTTCTATCTAAAAACAGTGAATATCAGAAACATGCCTCAAAATCTGCAAGTTCAGCAACTGTATCTTGCAGTTTGACCTTTTGCTCTTCCAATTCTGCCGCTTGCTTATTATTTTCATTTAAGAGATTTGCAGCAGTCGCTTCAGTTTGCTTCAGCTTCTGTTGCAGGTCGGTGAAATCACTTGCCATGTTGCTCAACTACCACAGAAAAAAACAAAATACATATAGGAGAATATTTCAAGGATAAAAAATTGGGATAATGCCGCTTACCTCAGCTTTAAAACGATCGAGCTCCGATTGGTTCTTGTCGAGCTCTAACTTTTGCTGGTCAATAAGTGTATTGGCCACTTGAACTTGGTTCTTGTAGTTCTTTTCGATATCTACACGCATCTTTAGAGCGTTTATATACTTATCGTGCAACTCCATGCCCAGCTGCTCCTGCAGGGCCAGCTTGTTCGCCAGACTCTTGTTATTGATTGCCATCTCATTAAGTCTGGAATGTACAGAATAAAGCGTATATGATCGATAATGTGACGACAGGAAAGGCTTGTCTTACCGACTCTTCAGCGAAATATTTGCATAGTGTTTTTCGGTGTTACTGTTCACCAAAGTCAGCAAACGCTTGGCAGTTTTTATATTGCAAGCCCTGTAATTGTCGTAGAACTTCTGAAACTGGTTGAGGTAATACATATCGTAGCCTGAAGAAGCCAGCAAGCCCTTGGCAGCGATCCACATTGACTGACAGGAGGCTATCTCAATGTCTGCCATAGGGGCATCATCTGCGTTCGTTTCGTTTGTGAGGCGTAGTATGTCAGGGTTCTCGTTTTCCTTATTATTGTTTTCCTGGTTTTGATTTGGCTTGGGGTCGGATTTGTGATAAGATTCCCCTTCCAATTGAGTTGGCTTGGGACTGTCAAGCCCCAGTTGCGTAGGAGTCATCCTTATCTTCTTTGCTTTGTCCTCGAAAAAAGATTTTGGCACCGGAGTTCCGCTTCGTTTTGGAGCCCTGGCGGGTGGAGCCTTGGCGGCGTTAATATCAGCAGTTTCTTTCTTGCTGGAGACATCTGGCGAACGAAGAGCTTGCCGAGTCTGGAACACTTCCAGTTGGCTCAAAGTGCTCTTACTGGCAGACGCAACTGTACCTTCAGAGTGTGCAACTTCGCTAACCTTGAGATCTTTGCAGTTATCCGCCATTTTGGATGTCTCAACGGGCAATCGCTTAGCTTCGCTAGTAGCGCTATTTTTTTGCGTCTCCACAGCGATTGGTGGTTTTTCCTGGGACGACTCGCAACCGGGACTGCGAGACGATTTACGTGAAGGCATTGCCACAGGACTTTTCGGGTTTTGTTGGCCTTTACGCGGCATGGCGAGCACCTTTCGGTATTTGGGAAATGTACAGAAAACCAACAGTTATTGATAGTTTCAGTGATTTTCATAGTCTTAGGCAATAGAGTGCCCGATAGAACAACAATTTAGTGCTAATAGAAAAATATATTTACCTTTTTTTCCACTTTTTCACAAATTCGACGAAACTTTTGCAAGGATAAGCGCGAAAAAGCAACGGTTAATTAAGTGTGACCGCGTCGCTACATCTTGAAAATACCACCTGTTTACAAATTAATACCGAAAACCAGCAAAAAAAAGGTAGTCCCGTCGGGGCCAAATTGTTCGGGTTTTAGGGCTTATTTTAACAGCTCGTGCTTATTCATTGAGTCATTTTATTCACTTGATTGCCGAACTAGGGCGTTTTTTTCCAACGGAACTACCTTGTATAATTCTATCATTAAAAAAACCACCTTTTTTAGGAAATTTCTCAGATCTGCGCAAGTGTGACCAGTTAACGGGACGGTGAAATGCCTGCCTTTTTGGCATTTGGCATTAAACCCCGTTCGGTCACGCTGGCTCATAAACTAAGCACACGAGATTATTAACCCTAAGTTTTGCAATTGCATTGTAATCAAGGTAAAGTCGCAATTTCAAAGTAACAACAACAACAATAAAGAAAGTGTGTGCCAAGGTGGCGTGTGCGTTACAGACGCAGTGTGTCTGCATGCTGCGCGTATGCATAGCGTGTGTGTGTGTGCTGCGACAGTCTCACGCCGTGTGAGTGTGTGTGTGTGTGTGTGAGTGTGGGAATTAGGTTGAGTGGCGCTGGATTCCTCGTATCCTTGCGCTTCCCTTGAAGTCTCCGGTCCCCATATGTCCGTGATCTGGGAAATAAACCACAAGTTCTGGCAAAAGGGGGCTACATGGGCGGGCAACGCACCGACAAAGCAGCGTAGCAGCCCAACTTAACCTCAAAGGCGGACGAACGAACGGAACAAACGAACGAACGAAGGAACGTGCGACGAAAGACAACACAAAGCAAACAAAGCGACTAATGCCAGTCGCCGAAGTTACCAAAACAAGACCCAGGGACCAGGCCAGGCCAGGCCAGGATCAAACACCCGAGCGATGAATCGGCTGCCCAGCAAATTCATGACCTCCCGCCTGATTGACTTCTTCGAAAGCAAGGCTTCCTTCCATTCCCTGAAATATTTACCCAATTCCCCTGTTAATGTTTCCCTATTCCCACTTGTGTCTACCCGCAGACCGCGCCTACAAGCAGGCCCCGGGTAATCAGCTGTACGAGATGGTTAAGAAGCGCCAGACAGATGCCCACGACCAGGCCAGCTCCACGGATTCCGGCGAGGAGGAGCTGCAGCATCATCATCGCAGCGGTGCCCTGGCCTCTGGCACAGGCATGGATGGTGGCACGCCCACAGCAACCAGTTGTCAGCACATAAAGAAGGCGGTGGATGCCACACGATTGCGGCGTCAGCTGAGGAACACTGGCCTGCTGTACGAGTGCTCGCAGTGCCAGAAGCTGGGCCAGGCCAAGACCGCTGGAAACGCAGAATCAACTGGAGGCGGCGAATCCGGCGACTATGAGTTTGATAGCACGCTTTGGTTGTGCCTCAAGTGCGGCAGCCAGCTGTGCGGGCGAGCCAGGAAGAAGCATGCCCTAGAGCACTACCAGGTGGGTCTCCTCCTCCTCCTACTACTCCTCCTCCTCCAGCCGTTTAAATAATCCTTTCTTAATCCCCCACAGACACCGCACTCGGATTCGCACGCCTTGGCCATGAACACTCGCTCCTTTGACATCTGGTGCTACGAGTGCGACATGAAGATCTGCTCCAATATGCGCAAGAACCTCCTCGAGTGCGTGGAGCTGGTCAAGCGGCTGGCCCAGAAGCCGCCTACAACGACCACCGCCACGCCCAGTCCGCCCACCATTAGCTACATTGAGCAAAAGTTCAAGTCCACGCTAGAGCATCTAACGCCCATGGTGCCCATGACGGGCGGTGGTTCGCCAGCCAGCCAGGAGGCCATACCACTGCCACCACCACCAACGACGTCGTCCTCCTCAGGTTCCCTGACCCTGGTGCCGGGCATGGCCAAGAGGATTGGCCAGAGCCAGGGACAGGCCAGTGCCAATGTGCCACGGCCCAGCCTCAACGAGCTGGATCGGCTGCCCAGGGTTCGGGGACTGACCAATTTGGGCAACACTTGCTTCTTTAATGCGGTGATGCAGTGCCTGGCCCAGACGCCCTTCCTTCTGTCCGATCTGAGGGACCTGGCCGAGCCGGGAGAGGAGTAAGTACCTCTTGGGGAACTTGGATCCACCCTAATCAATCCTAATCAATATTTTTCCCCCTGCAGATTCACTCTGCCTGGCGGCACCTTCAACTTTAAGGACAAGGGCGACATTGAGCTGCCCAAGATCGAGGGTAAACTCTCCTCCTGGGGTCCCCTCACCGCCGCTTTGGCCAATGCCCTCGAGGAGCTCCAAGCCGGCGGCAGTGTCTTTACGCCCAGCAAACTCTTCGACAAGCTGTGCACCAAGTGCCCCCAGTTTACGGGCGGCGATCAGCACGATGCTCATGAGCTGCTCCGCCAGCTGCTGGAGAGCGTGCGCAACGAGGATCTGAAGCGGTATCAGCGCGTCATCCTGCAGAACCTCGGCTACAAGGACCAGGACATCAACAGCGTGTCGGAGGAGATGCGGCAAAAGTGCAAGATCTATGGCAATCAGGCTGGTGATCGCATCCTGCGCCCGGAGCAGGTCTTCCGCGGCTTTCTCGTGTCCACGCTCACCTGCCAGGACTGTCACAGTGTGTCGTCGCGGCATGAGTACTTCCTGGACATGTCGCTGCCGGTGGCCGTGGAGAAGCCACAGCCGCCGCAGCGTCGCAAACCGAGTCCCGAGCTCTCGCTTCTGGCCAGCGGTAGCTCCATTACCACGACCTCTGCCAGCGGTCAGCCGACGGTTATCAATACCAAGTTCTCCGATGGCAATGTGAACTTTACGGCCTCGTCCTCCTCCTCCTCCTTCTACCTCCACGGGGATCTGCCGGAGCAGCAGCAGCAGCAGCCGCTGGGTCCCTCCAAGTCGCAGGTGAAAAAGGAGAAGGAGCGGGAGCGCAAGGCCAAGCGAGCGGCCAAACATCAGCGCCTCAAGCAGGCCCAGAAGCTCAGCCTCAAGCTGAACGGGAATGAGAATGGAAATGGGCTGGGCTCTGGCGATGGGCAGGCGGCGGCGCCGGAGCAGCCCAACCAGGAGACCACGTCGTCCAGTCCGACCACCTCAGAGCATTCGGATGCCGATGTGGAGGACAATCTGGTGGAGGACACGGCACCGCCAGCCGCCGCGGGAGCCAAATTTTACACGGACAGCAATGGCAATGCCCAGCCGCTGGGCGAGAAGCGTGACGATACGCCCGAGCACATGGACAAGGATTCACTGGAGGAGGATGAGAATGACTCTGGCATAGCCACCAGTCCCGCACCGACCAGCACCAACGTACCAACCGGCACTAACTCCTCCTCATCCGCCTCCGTGGCTGGAACACTTGACGAAGCAGAGGCGGAGGGCGAGGCCAAGGTCACGGCGGCAGCCAGCCTGGTGAGTGCCGGCCTCTCGGAGAAGGGAGCCTCCCTCATACGCCAGCTGTCCATTGGAGCCGAGCAGGGCGGACTAAATGGCCTAGAAGCAGCGGGAGGAGGAGGAGGAGCAGGAGGAAACGGTACCGAGAACGAAGCCCAACCTCCCAGCCAAGCTCCCACGCCAGCCCAGGCCCTAGCCAAGGCCCAGGCCCGGGCGAAACGTGTACGCACGCAAAGCTACTCGGATTGGAGCACCACGATAGCACCGCGCTATCAGTGCGAGGACGGCGAATGCTCCGTCCAATCCTGCCTGAACAACTTTACCGCCGTGGAGCTAATGACTGGCCAGAACAAGGTGGGCTGCGATAGCTGCACCCTGCGCCTCAACGGCAGCGATCCAAAGGCCAAATCGGTGAACACGAATGCCACAAAGCAGCTACTTGTGTCCAGTCCCCCGGCAGTGCTCATCCTCCATTTGAAGCGCTTTCAGCTGGGGCCACGCTGCATCTTTCGGAAGCTAACGCGACCCGTGAGCTATCCCAATCTGCTGGACATTGCCGCCTTCTGTGGCTCCAAGGTGAAGAATCTGCCGAATATTGATCGCAAGCAGAAGAAGCTGCTGTATGCCTTGTACGGCGTTGTGGAGCACTCGGGCGGCATGTACGGTGGCCACTACACGGCCTACGTGAAGGTGAGGCCCAAGGTAACGCCGGGCGACAAGCGTTACAAGTTTTTGCCGCTGGGCAGCAAGGCGGAACTGGATCAGGATGATGAGCAGCTGAAGAAACTGGAGGAGCTGCAGGCCAAGCGAAAGGCACGTGATTTGCATATGCAGGCAATGGATGACAGCGATGACTTTTCCAGCAGCAATTCGTCCACCTCGGATGATGCAGGGCAGCAGGAGGAAACGCTGCTGCCGCCGCCGCAGGAGGAGGAGGCCGCCCATGTCCAGGCGCCGCCAGGCAAATGGTATTATGTGTCCGATTCGCGGGTCCAGGAGGTCAGTGAGGACTCGGCGCTGAAGGCGCAGGCCTATCTGCTGTTCTACGAGCGCATCTACTAGGTGGGGGGAGGGCAGGAGGAGAAGCTAGCCTAACATTTATTCACTGATTTCATTATTTACTTTTGTTTTCTTTTTTTTTTAAATTTATTCTCTGCATTTAGGAAAGGGGAAAGGGATTTAAACACGAAGGAACGCTAGGAACTAGGGGTAGCGAGAGAGAGAGAGGGCAGCAAGAGACCTTATACTTGTCTCTTTCTAAGCCAGCAAAACACTTGATTGTTTATTAGTTTTTCTTAACATTTTTTTTTACATTTCTAGGGAAAAGACAGTTTATTAGTTCTTAGTTAGTTGGAAACGTTTTAAATTTAGTTTTTTTCCAAGCCAGGACAGCAGGAGAATGCCGGAATCCAAGAGAAGAGAAACCATTTGCTGATTGAGGAGAATGTTCACAAGTTATAAACGCAAGAAATACGAATGAAAAATAAAGCCACAACCAATTGCTCGCTTCTGCCAATAAATTTAACTTTGCAGTAACCTTAACTTATATACTTATATACCATATACACACACATTATATAAAGGGGTGCAAGTGTTTCCGAGAGATTTATACTTCTCTAGCGAAACATAAATACACAACTATACAGACAGTTAATCTTATGAATTAGGCTTAACTAACGATTTAATTATGATATACAGAGTAATTAAGGAGATGTTTTTATCGGGAGATCCCAAAAACCATTCAAAAAGTCCAGAGATGTGAGCAATTAAAGCCAATTCAAGTGTAATTTTTCCATTCATTTCTTTTATTATTAATTATTTTATTTAACAGGTATTGTAAAATAAAGAACGTAAAGCTGCAACTTTTGTAAAAATAAGCCAGAAAAAACGTTTTAGGTATTTTTATTTAAAACGAAAATAAATGAATAAAAATAAAAACAAACTAAAACGAAAATAAATAAAATAATTAAAATGGAAACCCGACGTAAAAAGTATAAACCATTTTCGCTTTTAAACTGAACACATAGTTGTGATAATTAAACTATTTAAGGCAGTCATTAAAGGATTAACAACTTAATTATTAATTATAAAATTCAATTAACTGCATTACAGAGCTCTTTTTCTGGGGTTTAAAATAATAATAATTAAAAAAGGTTCGTAAATACAGAAGAAACTGCAGTAAGTATACTAATTATAATTATATATTTAATGCATAAATAATTATAATTAATATATCCATTACAATTATAATTAAACTGTTTAAAAACAAGAAAAAAGCTTAGTAACTACAGTAGAAACTGCAGTAAAATGGTATTAATTATAATTATAATTAATATGCATGATTAAGAGCCGGTTTTCTAGACTTCTGGGAAATGAAATCAACGCCTTATCGGCAATCTGCCCTCTCCATCTGATCCCATTCCCCGGGATGCCCAAGGTCAAGACGCAAAAGCTCCGGCACAACCATAGCTCTCTTCCAGTTGCACGATGAGAGCTGCTCCGTTCGGATTGTGCCGGTTCTGGCTGGGATTGGCCATGGGCCTGCTGCTGGCCAGTGATTCCGGCTTGGTTTCGGCCAAGCGCTACCTGCGCTGTGAGCTGGCCAAGAAGCTGCTCGATCCGCCTTACAGGTTCGATCGATCGCTGCTCTCCAATTGTGAGTTTATATTCGACTTTTACATCATATAAAATACTCATAATTTCCTGACCCTTTCAGGGATCTGCCTGCTGGAGCACGAAAGCGACCTGGACACCAGCAGGATCACCTCGAACCCGAATGGCACCCGAAACTATGGCTTGTTTCAGATCAACAGCCGATTCTGCCAGGAGGGCAGGCGCGGCGGCATCTGCAATGTCAAGTGCGAGGGTAAGAAACTCTGATTGTTCTGGGGATTATCTGTCTTAACACCCCAGTATGTGTCTCCTCCACCTGGCAGATCTCCTGGAGGAAAATCTAATGGAAGCCTCGGTCTGTGCCAAGCGGATTCATTCTTCGGATGGCTTTCAGCATTGGAATGGCTGGCAGCGTCATTGTCGAAATACCCAGAACCTGCCGAATCTGAGGGTCATTTGTGGGATATAAATCAAGTTTTATTTATTAAATATTAATATTAAAAGTTAAGTTAGGTTTTTAAGTGCTTAAATATGGGATTACTGACTCTGTAAATTAAGAACTTCGGGATAATTTCAAATATTAATTTAAATGAAATAAAAAGGGTTCTTTAATGGGGTCTTTAATTAATTTTAAAACAAAAATTAGCTGCTGAAATGACTGTAAAATATATCGGAACTATAATAAATAAATAAATAAATAAAGAAAAAAAATTTTAAAAGCCCATTTTTTATATATTAAAATACCCTTATATATAATAAATACAATTAATATTAATGCATTTTTGGCCGAGTTATGATTGTTTTTAATATAAAAAATCAGATTTTATAATACAAAATAATATTTTTCTAAGTCAAGGAATCATTTCCGACCCCATAAACCATATATATTCTTGATCAGCATTAAAATACGAATCGTTTAAGCCATGTTTGAGGGAAATCAAATTTTGAGCCATTTTTTCAAAATGTGATAAGGGGTTACATCATTAAAATTCTCAATTTTTGACCTAAAATTTTTTTTCTAACTAAGTATGCAGATTTGTTAACCTCATAAAAACTAACACAGAACAGTTTTCCGATTTAAAATTAATGCATTTTTGGCAGAGTTATGATATTTTTTAATATAAAAAATCAGATTTTATAATACAAAATAATATTTTTCTAAGTCAAGGAATCATTTCCGACCCCATAAACCATATATATTCTTGATCAGCATCAACAGGGGAATCTTTCTAGACATGTCCGGAAGAAATCGATTTTTTGGCCATTTTTGCGAAATTTGATAAGGGGTTACATCATTAAAATTTGCGAAAATGGCCAAAAATTTTGATTTCTTAAAATTTTAAATTTGGTATGCAGTTTTTTTAAATCAATAAAAACTAACACAAAACTGCTTTCCGAATCGAAATTAATGCATTTTTGGCTTAGTTATAATATATTTTAATATTTTTAATTGGGTATAAAAACTTTGGCTGGCAAAAGTTAGCTTTCTTTCTTGTTTTATATTAAAATATTTTTGTTAACAAAACTAAGTTTTTAAAAGTAAAAAATATTCTAAATATATTTTTAAGAACTTTTATTAAGTTTAAAAATTAAAATAAATAATATAAATGTATATCAGGGATCGTAATCATTATAAGTAAAAAATTTAAAATCATTGTTTAATTAATTAATCTAATAATTTTAATATATTTAGCTTACTGTTAATAATTTATAATTTTATAGATATTTAATAACTCATAGAATAATAATTATAATAATTAATTAACATAATATAATATATAATAATTAATATATAATATTTAATATTAATATGATTATTGTTATTTTTTATTAATATTATTTATAACTGAAAATATTTTCAAGTTTAGACCTTTTAAGGTCTTACCAAAGCCCCCAATCCACCAGAAGCTATAAATCCAAGGTAGTTCTCTTTGCTCAGAGAGGTTCCCGAGAGGTCTCATTATCACCCAGTGAGGAGCGCAAGCTTCCTCTCTCCAAAGTTTCTGGCTTTTGAGCTTTTCCGACCAGGTTGAGTCACCCGCATGAAATAATGCTCGTCTCCCCAGAGCTAACGTGGCCCCACGGCGGAGATTTCATTTGGCGACATCGGCCGAACCACTCGGAGCGTTTGTCGGCCGAAAAAAACAAAGTTTTCTTTTCGTTCAATTTGGCAACGTGTTCAAAGAATATATTCTATACAAAACTAAAGTCAGTTTAAACTGAATTAAAATAGAAAAGTCTAAAGTCCAGTGCCCAGTGCCACAGAGATACTACAATCTCTCCAAATAGCAATATTATATATCCAGAGATATACATGCCAAGCTGTCATTACATAAATGCTGGTTTCCTACATGTGATATTGTGCTTGATACCCTGAGACCCCTGAAAAATATATATAATAATAACCTATACCCTTATTACAAACCCCTGATACCCCTGCCCCTGAACCCGAAACCAAACCCAAAACCTTGAAGAGATTGCTCCTGATCTTCTGTGGAAGATCAGTCGTTGAGCCGAGTTTTAAGTGTTTAAAGTTGAAGCTATAAATATATATATATATATAAATATATAAGTGTATGCTTATTTTTTGTTTTTGTGCTCAAGTCCCCCCAAGATCTTAATATATAATGCCTGATCTCTGTCTTGTAAAATAGTGATTTCCATAAAGAAATTTCCAAAGGAAATTCTGACCAATTTACATCCTGATATTTTATCTTAGAACTTTATAAAAAATATATTCAAAATATATACAAAATCTATACAAAATATATACAAAATATATGCAATATATATGTGAATAAAAAATATATTTAAAATATTATATAAAGAAATCTATTTTATATTGTGTTGGGTGGTAAAAATGATAAAAGATTTCTTATAGAGATCTTGAAAATATATAAAAGAATTCTTCTATGTGTGATGTTTCAGATATAAATATGAATATTTTAGGGAAATGTGAATAAAAAATGCCCAAAATATTTAAGAAAACTTCTTAATGAAATTCTAAAGAAATTATTAAAATTATATATAAAATATATAATATATTCTCTAATGAAATAATAATTAAATTCTGTGAAGCTATAACGAAATTTGAAGGAAAGTCATATGAAATTATTATCAATTTCGTAAGATTGTGAAATTATGAAGCACTGGAAAAAATTATAGTGAAGCCTTAAAAAAATTAATGAAAATTGTTGTTTGTTTACAAAAATATAAAAAAATTTCTTAAATATATACATAAATAGTATAATATAAATATTAATAAATATACATATGTATATATAAAAATTCATAATATATAGAATTTTAAAGCTTTTCTCATTTTATATAACTGAAGTGATCCTAAAGTATTAAATATAAATATATATATAAATTTATTTTAAATTAAGTAACAAGAATATGGTAAAATCTTCTTAAAGAGTGATCTTTAACCTGCTTCCTCAAACATTGGATTCCCTGGAAATGAATAATAATAAATAATTCTAAATAAATCTAAATAAATCTAAAAAATATCTAATAAAATATAAAATATAAAAATATAAATATATAAAAAAATAAATAAATATAAATAAATAAATATAAATAAATATAAATAAATATAAATAAATATAAATAAATATAAATAAATAAATATAAATAAATATAAATAAATATAAATAAATATAAATAAATATAAATAAATATAAATAAATCCAAATAAATCGAAATAAATCGTAAATAAATCTAAAATAAAGCTAAAAAAAATCGAATAAAATCTTAAAAAAATGATTTTGATTTTTCAGCAGATGAAGCGATCAAGTAAATGCATGAGGGATCTTTAAGATAAAGTTCCTGGAGCATTATGTTGATCTCCATCTCCAAATCGATGCATGAATGATGCCCTGCAAAATGAGTTCGTTTCCATTTTTGGAGACTGTAACCTTTGCAGGTGAATTATCCCCCTGTTCTAGACCTTTCTTAATATATTTCCTTACATTTTCCATATTTTCAACATTTTTCTATATTTTCATAAGCTTGCGAAATGCAACATCCATTTGGATCACCTTACAGGCTGGCGGTTGTGGGGCTATTTCATCACAGGGCGAAATAAATGCAAAAAATTCCCCACCGCCTGGCCTTTGGGGGGCTTTGTTTGCGTCTTTTTTAGTTGTTTTTTTTTCTGTTTTTATTTTTGTATATCGAAAACGACGCCAAATCCACGTAGTTGATAGTGAGAATTGCAAAAACAAAACCCATACTATCACAGGTCTTTATTGTTGTGAGAGAGAGAGAGACAGAGAGAGAGAGAGAGAGAGCGCGGTCAGCTACAGTGGAGACTGGCTAATGGGAAAGTTTAATTAAGATTATTATATATTATAATTATTAATAATTATTTAATAATTTCTTTTTCTCTCTTTTATGTTTTTAAAGTATTTAAGATCATTAAAAAAATATTGTTAAAATCTTTTTATTTAGTTACTTAAATATTTGCAATTTTAAAATCACTATAGAAGTATCAGATATGATTTTTTGGCTAAATAAAATTAGAAATATAATTAAAATAAAATTATAAAACTCAATCTAGATATTGCAGGGAATAGACCTTCCTTTCAGTGGCTTTTAATAAATAAAAATAAATATATTTAAATAACAAATAAATAAAATAAAAATGTAAACAAATTTCCAAGTACAAATACTGATGAAATTCCTTGTAGTTTGCCCCTAAGGAGCAAGCTCCACTGTACTCCAATCGCTCTCCCTTTGTCTGCGACGCATATTTCGCACTGTTCCGACTGTTCTCAGGCCCCGATTTACCTCTGCCCCCCCCCTCCTCTGCCGCTCTACGCCCTTATTACCCCCTCCAGCGAGTTAACGTTCTGCCGGCGCCAGACGCCGACGGCCGACGTGGTCGTGGGTTCGCGGAGCGTATAAAAGTTGCCGGCCGGCGAGCGTTTGTCATCAGTTTGCAAGCCTTCCAGCTTTGTAGAGAAGCCAACCAAACAAGTTCTCAGCGAAAAAAGCCAGAAATCAACAGGGAAAACTATTCCAAACAAAGAAAACCGCACATATTTACACCATTGAGGGAAATTCATACCAAAAGGAATCCTTAGCCATGAGCGAGTTGACCAGAGATCTGCGGCAGCAGCAGCCGGAGCAGCAGGATCCCGTCGAGCTGCTCGACTGTGACATCGAGTTCGAGGAGGATCAGTCTCCCGTGGAGGTCCAGCAGACAGCCAAGATCCCGGCCAGTTCGGCCAAGCTCTTCACCAAGGCCCTCAAGAAGGTGTCCAAGGTGCAGCGCATGCTGGAGCAGGCACGCATCCTGCTGGCCGAGGAGCAGGAGCAGGAGCAGGCCACCTCCAAGAAGGACCAGAAGAAGGCCAAGAAGCAGTTGAAGAAGCAGGCTAAGAAGGCCAAGAAGCTGGCCAAGAAGCAGGCCAAGAAGAGCGCCGAGGGAGAGATCCTGGCGGAGGAGGAGGCGGTGCCCCCAGCTCGTTCCCGTTCGAACAGCGTTAGCTCCACCTCGAGCTCCTCCAGCTCCTCCAGCTCTAGCTCGAGTTCCAGTTCTAGTTCCAGTTCTGGCGAGGATCAGGAGCTCAACTTCTATGGCTACGGCTGGGGTCGCAATCCCTGGCGCCGGGGACCTCATCATTGCCGTCGTCACAGCATTGGCCATAAGCATGGCAAGCATCATGGTCATCATGGTAGGAGACATGGTCATGGACACGGGCATGGACATGGACATGGACATGGACATGGTCACAAGCATGGCCATGGACATGGACATGGTCATGGACACGGACATGGCCACGGACCTCGTCGCCATCACCTGGGACCCCATCACTTTGGACCCCATCACTTTGGTCCCCATCCCTTTGCCTTCGATAGGCGATCCTGGCTGGGACCTTGGCAGGATCAGTGCCAGTTTTTTCGGTGGATGGGCCTGCCGTGGGCCCCAGAACCAATCACGGACTGCCGCAGCCGGAGGAGGAGCCGATCTCTGTCTAGATCCGCCTACCCAAATCGTGGAGATTTTGGACTCGGACACGTCTACGGACACGGATACGGACACGGACACGGACATGGCCACCCGGGTCGATCACATGACCGTCGAGTAGAGCGTTCTAGCTCCTCCAGCTCCAGTTCCAGCTCGGAGAGCGACCAGGAGCTCAGGAAGAGGAGCAAGAAGAGCAAGAAGCATGGCGGCAAGAGTAGGTCCAGGTCGAGCTCTAGTTCTAGCTCCAGCTCCAGTTCGAGTTCCAGCTCCGAGGAGGAGAAGAAGACCAAGAAGCAGAGGAAGCGGCAGGGCAGGAAGCAGCGTGGCAGCAGCTCCTCCTCCTCCTCCTCCTCCTCGTCGAGTTCCTCCAGTTCCAGTTCGGACAGCGAGGGAAAGGTGGAGAAGAGGCACCACAAGCGCGGTCATCATCATGGCAGACCGCATCATGGCCCACACCATGGCCCACATCATGGCCATCACTTTGGCCCACATCCTGGCCATCACTTTGGTCCCCATCATGGTCATGGACCGCATCGCCGAACAGACTTCCCCTGGCCTCAGCATGAACCTACTAGGCTCCTAGCTCCTTCCTTTGGACCTTCACCGCCTGCCTTTGGACCACCGCCACCAGAACCTTTTGGCCCGCCAGCCTTTGGCCAGGATTGTCGTCGTCGCGGACGCTCTCTGTCCCGTTCCCATCACCCGGAGAGAGCCCACTCCAGACCAGGCTCTCGTTCGCACTCCCGATCGGAGGAAAAGCCAAAGGAACACTGCCAGAAGAAGAAGAAGGACAACAAGTGCAAGGATAAGGGCAAGAAGAACAAGAAGCACCACAAGCATGGACATCATGGCAAGCATCATGCTTAGAGATCCAGGATGACCCAAAGATTTATCAATATTCCTTCAATATCATAACTACTATATAATCTTTAAACTATAATCTTGTATCATTTAATCTTGTATCCTTCAATATTTTATTTTTCAATCTTTAATCCTTTAATCCTTTAACCTTGTATCCTTCATTCTTGTATCCTTCTTAACCAAAAAACAACTTTAAATATATAACCAAAAGCTTTATTATTATATAGAAAAAAACACACAAAAAAAAGGAACAAAATGTTAAATACAAAAAATATATAAATAAAAATAAAATATATAAACAAAAGAAAAATTAGTTGTATTTTTTGGAGGAAAAGTGGCCTACATTAAAATATATTTATATTAAGATATATAAATAAATACCAATAAATAAATATGTTAAAAAAAAATATAACAAAATATAGAAAAATGTAATTAAATAAATATATAAAAATATTTTAACATTTAAATTAAGGAAATATAGAATTAAAAATAAAAAATATAAACAAAAGTAAATTAAGTTGTATTTTTTTGGGAGAAATGTGGCTTACATTAAAATATATATAAATATATTTATAGACAAATATCTAAAAATAAATATATAAACAAATTATAAAAAATTTAATTTAAGAAAAAAATACAAACTATTAAAGCTTGTTAAGCAATTATTATTACCAATTACAGTCTTCAATTTTTGTTTTTATGGCAAAAGTTAATAATATTCCACATGCTAATTCCCTTTAATTTATTTTCCAACTCGCTAGTCGTGTGTTTCAGGGATTAGAAATCATTGGAATTACATGCCAGCCTCTCTCTCCCATAATTATATTATTTAATTATATTTGACCATTCGGCTGACTGAATGATTAAATTGCATTATTAATGCATTGACTGCGATAAAGATATGTTCGCCAAAGCGAAAACAGAGCGGACAAAGCGGACAAAGCGGTCAAAACAACAGAAATTAATCCCCAATTTAAAATAAATAATAAATAATTATGGCATCGGGAGTGTTGTTCCCGAATAGATAGTGCTGGTCTTACATGACATGACGAAGCGAAGCCCTCACCCCGATAAGATTCGAGGGTATTCCTGGCCAGGTTTTACCCACACCCATGACGCGGCCGATAACTTGCATAGCTCGATAAGGCCAGGGAAAATGATAAACACCATGTTTTGCAAAGTTTCACCTGCTTGAATGCACAGGTGAGCACGGGGAAAACCCATTAAAGGGCCAAAGGCAGCCATCAATTAGCTGCTAGGAACTAGGACAACCTGTCGATGTTATCGAATGGTTAGTAGAATGGGTGGTAGAATGGTGACGGAAGTTGGCAGGAAGACTGTGCAGGACTTCCCCTGGTAGTAACCAAAAAGCGGGAACACTTACTGGCCAACTGTTCTCATTTTCAGGGGGGGAAACTCTACTGTTCCCGGTCTTGAGCTTGACGGAATAGTAAAAGCCTCTTTTAAGAAAAGGTTTCTAAGGAAGCAAGTGGTAGTGGTTCTAGTAGATATGTACATAGATAGATAGATAGATAGATAGATAGATAAATAGATAAATAGATAAATAGGTCGATTTTAGAGGGTTTTTTATTAATATTTTCACCCTTGAGGGGTATTATTATTTCATTCAAAAGCTAAAAACTCACTGAATTAATCATTCCCGACCCTATAAACCATATATATTCTTGATCAGCATCAGTAGGCAAGTCTTTCTAGCCATATGGAAAAGAAAAAAAATTTCAAAATTTTTTTTTCAAAATTTGATAGGGGGTTACATCATGAAAATCGTGAAAAATTGCAAAAAAATTTAATTACAAAAAAATTATAAATTTAGTATGCAGATTTGTTAGCCTCACAAAAACTAACACTGAACAGTTTTCCGATTTAAAATTAATGGATTTTTGCCTTAGTTATGATCGATTTATATAGCAAGGGTATAGAAAGTTTTATGTTTTCGATATATTTTAATTATTTTTAGATTTTATTACATTTATTTTTAATAAAATTTCATTTGAAAGTCACTTGATTTATAAATATATAAATGAAATACACTGAAATGCTTTCCCCTGCTGGCACTAAGCTTAAGAGAGCGCTTAAGAGAAAACCATAAATACTGGGAACAGTTGACTGGGAACACCCCGACTGAGACTGGGAACACGCTGGCTTAGAACACACTCGACTGAGAACACGCTGGCTTAGAACACACTCGACTGAGAACACCCCGACTGAGAACACAGCTGACTAGGAACACCCCGACTGAGAACCAAGTTTGACTGGGATCAGTTTCCCTAATTAATGGACGGCAAATGGGAATTGCTTTTGTCTCTAGCCCGTCTGGCAGATCGCGTGGAAAGGCAAGGCGAGTGGAAAGCAGAAGGAAGGCTGCCAGGCGGGAAGGGGGTGGCAAGCCGAAAGCGTGGGAGTGGTAATGGTACGCCCCCAAAAGTGAAAGCCACTGACCGGTTAGTGGGTCTTTGTGGGTTAAGTGCTGTTTAATAATGAAAGGCGGCACAAACTAAGGCAGGGAATAGTTCACTTTCCACTCTCCTGTTCACTAATCCTTCAACTCAACTTCTCCACTATCTTTTTTTATATATATTTTTGTAATTTTTAGTAAGTATTTCCAATGACATTCCAGTTTTTAAGCAGGAAGTTTTTGTTATTCCGGGAAAATCTCGATTAAAATCGGCAGGCAATTCTCACCTTTTACCTTTACGCCGCCCACAATCAACAGGTGAACGCATAAAGACACACCACCAAGCACACACACACACACACTCCAAGCTGAGGGCGTAAATTTTCAAAGGAAAACTTTATTCAATTTTTGTGACATTGTGACAGGGACAGGCGCAACTTTCCGCAGTTGCCCTTTTCTTTTTTTTTTTTGTTTCTTGTTATGTGTGTGCTTTTCTGCTGCTTTTCTTTTATTTATGTATGATGTTCTCTCGCTGACATTTGGCAAAGTTGATTTGTTGTTCAAGCACTGAAAAAAATATATTTAAATATAAAAATAATAATAAATGTTTATAAATGGGATTTACAGAGTTTTTAAGTCTTTTGTGGCTTAAAAAATATATTAAAAAATTTTCGAAAACAAATATATAATTTTAATAATTCTAAATATATATTCTTTATAACAAATATATAATTTTTAAGGCTTAAACTATATAAATTTCATAATTTTCTTATTTAAAAAATTCTCTTTAACAAATACATAATTTTAAAGGCTTAAACTAAATAAATTTCATAATATTCTTAGCTCAAAATATATTTTTCTTCAACTTATTTCTCCCTGTGTTGCCCCTCGAAGGGCCTCCCACCTTTATTTGTCATCTGCAGGTCCTTAACTCCAATGGCAAAACTGCGCTTTACTCTTAAACGTAAAAAACAAAAGAAGATTTCTGTTTTTCAATTTCCTAAAAACAAAGAGCGGATAAACTGAAACAAAAGCCCGAACAACAACAACAAATAATAATAAGAAAAAAAGAGAAGCATAGCAAATGAAAAGTGAAAGTGTGTGGCATGAATAGAGGAAGTTGCCGGAAGTGGATTTTTGAGCGGAAATAATTTTGCCACATGTTGGTGAAATAAAGAGGCACAAAAGGAGGAGCAGGGGGAGGGGCAGGGAAGCTAAAACAAAGTCACGCGCCAAAAAAAGTGGCGGAGCAGGAGAATCAAGAGGAGGACATGGCGCAAATCCTTCCGTTGTCGTCATTGTCGAAAGCTTAAAATTCAATATAAGCGTGCTCCATTTGCGCTTTCAGTGTCACTTGTTCAAATATATATAAAGTACATAGTATACAGTATGCATATATAGCCATAATATATATGTAAATATTTCTTTAGATTTTTAATAATTTTCCCTTCTGGCAGGTGGAAACAGCTTTTGGGGCTTATTGTCCCATTGCAAGTGGTGCTTGTCTTTATGAAAAATATAAACTGAATTCAAGGAAATGAACTCGGCTTATTGAAATGTATTATTATTTGAAAATAACTTTAAAATATATTCAGTTTGAGGGTTGGAAAAAGTTAATTTGATAAGAAAATATATTTTTTAAAAAGAATTTTTAATGAAAAAGCTAAATAAAGTCAAAGATTTATTTTTAGTTAAAGTTTTTTGGGTAAATTTCAATTAAATTATATTTAAAAATTTTAAAAGAAAATAAATTTTAGGTATAAAATGTAATATCTTAAGTTTTTTTTAGAATTTAGCTTAATTTTTTAAATTTTCTATTTTTTTTTTTTAATTAAACAAATTAAAAAAATTAAAAAATAAATTAAATTAAATTTAATTAAATTAAAAGAAATTTAATAAAAGAAACTAAAAAAATTAAAAAAAATTAAACTAAATTCTATAAAGAACTTGTACCTAAAATTTATTATTTATTAAATTTAATGTAATTTAATTAATTTAAATAGTTTTAATTTTTATTAATTACCTAATTAATTACGCTTTTTTTTTTTAAATATGAGTCTTAATTTTTTTGAAATTTTTATTTAAGTTTTTAATTTTTTTTTTACAAAAAACTCCTTCAAGCTTTATAGTAAGTTATATAAATACTAAATATTACATTTTATAAAATAATATAAATTAATAAATTAAAACTTAGCTTTAAAACTAGATTTCTGTAACCTTTTGTCTTTCTTTAAAACTCCCAATAAAATTTCTAAATAATTTCTTAAGCATATTTTCCATGTTCTTTAATATCCCTGCCACAAAATTGCAGCTAATAAAGTGAAATACTTTCAAGGAAATGTAACGAACAATGGCCCCCAAAAACTCTTCGAATGCATAAATAATTCCTCCTTTTGTTGGCTTGTTTAATAAGTGACAGCCAAAAAATAGAGTAGAAAGGAGCAGGGAACCTGCAGCAGGTTTCAGCTTGCATTTCTCCTCCGATTGTTGGCAGGATAATATCATTGCAAATAAGATGGGGCGACAGCAGCAGCAGCAGCAGCCCTTTCATTTTGTGTGTGTGTCTTGTCTCTTTCACTTTATTTTTAGTTTTTTTTTTGGGGACCACCAACACTTGGCTAACTGGCAAACAATGGCCGCCGTAATACAGCACAATAGATATTTGTCAGGGGGTGGGGCATCGGGCGTGCTAGGTGCGAATGCAGATACATAGAAAGTTATACGAATGTTACGTGAGCGGAATGCCAGAGCTGGGAAAACTGTAACAATGAGCGGGTGACCCCCCCAGAACCATCCTCACCTTCCACTGATAACCCTTGGCCCCGTTGCAACGCATTTCGTATGC